CAAAGACCATATAAACAATTTACTTGAAAAATAAACTATCTAAATCCAATTTATGTTGTTTCCGAGTATTTTCTTTAACTAAATGTTTATCAGAACCTTCAATTTTAAGGTGCGAAGGTCGATGCATTACTATTTTGACTGACGTTGCTCAAAAAAACAAGGAATAACCCTTTACAATTTTTTGTATTTGTTTTTTAAACGCCCTATATATTTTTATATATAAAACAACTCTAGAATTTCCAGTTGACAAAGGAATTAGACAGGGAGACGCTATATTCCCAAAGGTGTTTACAGCAACACTAGAAGAAATCTTCCGTCAACTGGACTGGACCAACCATAGATTTAGGAAGAACAGATATCACATTGTGCATTTTAACCCGATCAAACAATCGGAGGTTGACTACGTACTGTAAAAACCAACTGAAATAGAGAACGCGACATTGCCACATCTCAAATTTGCGCCTATCTACTTAGCTTGATTTGCAGAAAAGGTGACTTTAAAACCTTCACCGAACGTTGAATTCCTGATTTTGCGTTTTGATTGGTTATTACTATTATTTTATTAGCGTACAAAACGAAAACAAGTAATGTAATACATTTTACACTTATGAAGAGCATAATAATTACTGTGATTATACATATTATTGTGATTACATCGCTAACGTACACAAACCGAAGGTCCTACAAATTGACTGTAAGTTATAAGAATCTTTATCTTTTAAATCTTTTTATGATTTGAATTTTCGTGCTTTATATTTTATAATAGACTCTAAATGTTAATATTTTTTAAATTCTTGTGGAAATGTGAAGTTTATGTTTTTGTTTTATATTTGAAAAAGTTGTATATTTTTAAGATGTTTCTTGTTGTTCCTATTATTAATATTATAATACAGTAATACCCCGGACTACGCGATAGGTGGGACTGAGCGCTATCCGCGTAAGTCGAATTCGCGTAAGTCGGGGTACAATTTTGCATATAAAGACATACAAAGTATGTTTAATTGGGACTGGAGACTAAATAAAACAATAATTTAGGAAATAATTAGTATCTAATTCTAAATAATATGACAATACAATATACAAACTATATTAATAGAGTGTATAAACACAATCCGAAGTTATTTTGATGTAGAAGGTTTCATAAATTGTAACAAAGTCGTCTGACGAGTCAATGATTTTTTCTTCTCCCGTAATATCTCCTCGTAGCATCCTAGTAATTTTTTTATTCCATGTTTTGTAACAAAACTGCGCTCTTCATTGGAGTCTATGCTTTCCAAAATTGTTAACCCTTTTTCAATCGAACTGAGGGCTTCTGTCAAGTTTCCAACTGTCATTTGATCTTCTAATTGAACTGGATCCAAAGAATCATGATTATCAATTTCTTCCTCTTGTTCACGCATTGTTATGAGCTCATCAATTGTAAGCTCCTCATTGTGTGAATCCAACAGCTCTTGAACATCATCACTATCCACTTCTAAATTTATTTGTCTACCAAGTTCGACAACGTCTTTGATCACATTGCAAATTTCATCAGGCCCTGACACTAATTCCGCCTGAGTCATAGTGGAGAAAAAAAATGGACAGAGTTTTTTCCAGACGCCATTTAAAGTTTTTTGTGAAATTTCATTCCAAGATTCTCCAATGATTCTCACTGCTTCTAAAACGTTGAATTGTTTCCAAAATTCTTTAACAGAGAGCTCGTTGTTTTGTCTCATAGCTTCATGCAGATGTGCAAACGATCGTCTCGTGTAATAAGCTTTGAATGTTTTGATAACGCCCTGGTCCATCGGTTGAAGCAAGCTGGTTGTATTTGGTGGCAAAAATTCAACTTTCACACGTGGGTCGAAACTAGTTAAAGTAGCAGGAGGATGACCTGGCGCGTTGTCGATTAATAGCATCACTTTAAACGGGATTTGTTTAGACTGGCAATAACGTTCGACTTCAGGTATGAAGTGATGACCAAACCAGTCTTCAAAAAGGGAGGCCGTCACCCAAGCTTTACGATTCGACTTCCAAATCACGGGCAAACCAGCTTTAGATTTGTTTTTCAATGCTCTTGGATTTTCCGAGCGATAAACTAAGAGAGGTTTTAATTTAAAGTCACCAGCTGCATTCGCGCCAAGCATCACTGTCAATCGATCTTTGGCGGCCTTAAAACCTGGAAAAGTTTTCTCTTCACGCGCAATAAAAGTTCTTTTAGGCATCTTCTTCCAAAATAGGCCAGTTTCATCTACGTTGAATATGGTTTGGCTGGTATAGCCACCTTCATTTATCATAGCTTTGAGTTTCTCTGGATAGAGAGATGCTGCCTCTTTATCTGCACTTGCCGCCTCTCCACTTTCTGCAATGCTATGCCAGTTACAGCGACTTTTGAACCGGCTGAACCAACCGTTACTGGCTTTAAACGTTTCATCTTTAGCCATCTCCCCAGCTTCTTCTTTTAATTTCTCAAAAATTTGTTTAGCTTGAAAGCACACCGTGTTCTGATCAATAGGACAATTTTTCACACTTACTTGATTATCACACCATAATTTTAACAATGTTTCCATTTCAGCGATAATACCATGCCGTTTACGAATGATGCTTGAATTCAAAGACTGAGCATTTTTCACAGCTTCGAGAATTTTTTCTTTACTTTTCGTAATTGATCTGACTGTCGATTCCGGAAGTTCATACTTCTTCGCTAAATCACAAATTTTTATTTTTGCATCGTAGTCTTTAATAATGTTAAGTTTACACTCCAAAGATAATGTTTTTCTCTTCTTGTTTAAAGCAAAAGAGTCGGTTCTACTTCGTTTGGATGCCATAGTACTTAGTAAATATCTCAGGTCGTCGCACAACGCACAAAAAAACACAAAATCGTAACTTATGTACCTACGCGCCGATTCCGCACTACACGTATGTGCTTGTTGTAAACTGAACGAATAATAATGCGGGCGGGGGGAGTCAGAAACAAACGCCGCCGCTTGACCTTGACTGCACGGCGTTCAAACAAAAAACGAATAGACGAGAAAATTAAATCGCGTAACTCCGAATTCGCGTAAGTCGAGGTAGCGTAAGTCGGGGTATTACTGTATATATAATTATTTTTTGTACCTTTTGAAGAATAATGCTTTTATTTCGTTTGCCATATAACTGTTGTTTTTTTATCATCTTTTTTGTTATTTATTAAAATAAACGAAAAAAAGTAAAATAAACGAAAACGTATTCCTCTTATTAAAGAGGAATACGTTTTCGTTATTTGACTTTTTTGTTTTTATATCTGTTACGTCCAGAAATTATTGTTTATTTTACCGATGGAAATGGAAATAAATGTATTTGATTTTAATAAACGCTTATTAATTAAACATCCTTTTTACAAAATACCCAATCCATAAGTAAAACATCCTCATCTAAAAGACTACTACAAAATACACAATCCATAAGTAAACCGTCCTCGTCTAAAAAGGCCAGTTGACGCAAGCGCGGTAATAAACTCTTATCAAACTTGTTGCCGTTTTGCAGTACAGCGTTGACGCGTCTTGCTTTTGTTAGTTTGTCTATGGACTGGACCAACAAAGAATTAAAAATATATGGAGAATTTTTTAACCACCTAAGATTCGCTGATGACATAGTTCTAATTGCCAATAGTCCTGAAGAACTACATAAGCACAAATTGACGAACTAAATACAGCCAGCAATAGAGTGGGTCTCAAAATGAATTTAGCAAAAACTAAAGTACGGTAGAAAGACAAGACATTCTAATAAATAGCACTGAAAATAGTAGAAAAATATATATACATACTTGGGACAACTAATACAAGGCTCAGGATCTCTAATGCATGGAGTATTTTTTAACGGTCTGCTACACGCAAAATTTTCCTGATACGTTTTGACTGAACAGGTAAACCGTTACGTGTAGACAGCACTTAACATATTTTTTCAGTCTATTTATTTATGTTAACCTGTTTCTTAATTGTTATAAACAAACCAAGCTTTTCAATTCACCTCAGTTCACGCTAAAATGTTTTATTTTTACCAAAAAACTGGATTTATGAGAAAGAGGAAAAAACAGCCCGTCATAGAAACCTAATAATAGCGAAACGTGCGTTCCTTTATTGTTATAAACAAACGAAGCCTTTCAATGAGCTCAGTTAGTTCTAAAATGTTCATTTTATATTTTTGTTTTTACCAAAAATTCGATTTATGGGGAAGATGAAAAAACAGCCCGTCATAGAATCCTAATAATAACAAAACTTGCGTTCCTTTATTGTTATAAACAAACGAAACCTTTCAATAAGCTCAGTTAGTTCTAAAATGTTCATTTTATATTTTTGTTTTTACCAAAAATTCGATTTATGAGGAGGAGGAAAAAACAGCCCGTCATAGAAACCTAATAATAGCAAAACGTGCGTTCCTTTACTGTTATAAACAAACGAAGCCCTTCAATGAGCTCAGTTAATTCTAAAATTTTCGTTTTATATTTTTGTTTTTAACAAAAATTCGATTTATGAGGAGGAGGAAAAACAGCCCGTCATAGAAACCTAATAATAGCAAAACGTGCGTTCCTTTATTTTTATAAACAAACGAAGCCTTTCAATGAGCTCAGTTAGTTCTAAAATGTTCATTTTATATTTTGTTTTTACCAAAAATTTCATTTATGGGGAAGATGAAAAAAACAGCCCGTCATAGAAACCTAATAATGGCGAAACGTGCGTTCCTTTATTGTTATAAACAAACGAAGCCTTTCAATGAGCTCAGTTAATTCTAAAATGTTCATTTTATATTTTTGTTTTTACCAAAAATTCGATTTATGAGGAGGAGGAAAAAACAGCCCGTCATAGAAACCTAATAATGGCGAAACGTGCGTTCCTTTATTGTTATAAACAAACGAAACCTTTCAATAAGCTCAGTTAGTTCTAAAATGTTCATTTTATATTTTTGTTTTTACCAAAAATTCGATTTATGAGGAGGAGGAAAAAACAGCCTGTCATAGAAGCCTAATAATAGCAAAACGTTACCTTATAAATTAACTGTCAATGTTTGTGAGCCATAAAAAGAGGTTTTATTGAGATCCCAATTAAATACAGGAAATGGAACTATCTAAAGCAGATGATTTTAGTTTGGAATCCCTAGTAAAGATGTTTGTTTTATGATTACAGGGAATTTCTGTGTCATTTTCGTTCAAAAATCACTTTACTACACATTAACCTAATTTTGTTCTAAAGAAACTTGCTTTACTTCAAAGGATAATAAAATTTTTTGGAGGTTTACTGAAGATTTTCAACAACACTGGATGTTTCTAGGGTTTTCCGGATGTTTTTTCGGATTTTTCTCTGTGGAAATTCGACACTGATCGATTCTTTTCGAACTGGACACGATGATATTGATCTCGCGTAAAAATTCAGACTGAAAACACTTCGCTGGTGTTAATATAAACATACGAAATCTTTCGAGATCTGAAAATCTAAAATTAACCAGATTTATTTTCAGATATAGAGAGTGAACTATATTTCCGAGCTCACAGTACGTTTATTTCTTACTACGGGGGCGATTTGAAAAGTACACTGTACATTAATTTAATTTGTAGATTGTATGAGCGAGCGGTTCGAATTATTCGTTCGAATTATTTTTCTTTAAATTAAATAAATATTTTTTTGGCACAGATAGTATTTTTAAATCGTTAAATTTTACATTAGGTTGTCGGCGGTTTACTATCATTGTAAATCGTTGAAAACTATTTGATTTTTTATACAGGGTGTTTCAAAAAATATGTGCCATCTCTCGTAGAGAGATTCTTCACGTAAAAATAAAATTCCTTTTTCATATCAACATAGGTCCGATTCTGCTTTGTTTCGTAGCTACAGGGTGTTAATATCTTTATAATCTTTCGATTTATTATAATTTTCTTCCAAGTACTTTTAGTGATTCGAATGAAAGTTTGAATGAATATTTATAGGAACTTTTTAGAGTACTTATTTAAAACTTTCGCAAGTTAATGATATTCAACAGTCGAAATCAACAAAATATCAACAGACAACTTTTAATAGGCATTAAACTGCTTACACTAACAAGAGAAAAAAAGTCAGTGGCGTACATGCTTTTTTAGAAAAATATTCCAGTGATAACCCATATGCACGTCCCTGGTCCTCGACACTTTTTTAGCTTTAAAATATGCCGTAAAAGTATTTGGAAAAAATCATCTTAATCATTACTGAAATTGTTTTTTTTTTCAGTTTTGGCAGTTCTTGAAGACGAAGACTATGCAGACAACGAAGATTATGACGAAGATACATTCAACTCTACCTCAACAGCAAACAGTAAGATAATATTTAATAGATTTTTGTTGATGTACAGTTTTTTTCCATCAATATCATGGCCAAAACACTGTAACTTAGGTCTCTGGATGAATGTCTTGCTAAATAACTGGTATACAGGGTGAACAAATATAAAATCACAGTTGTTTTTGAGTTTTGGACCTGAAAAAAACTGTTTTTCTTTTTCAGTTTTTCAAAATACTAGGTAATCACATCCATTGTGTTAATTTCTGTTTGAAATTTACAGTGGTAATATTATTTTTCGTATTAAAAATGTACTAAACTTCGTACAAAAATACTAGGTAATCACATCCATTGTGTTAATTTTTGCTTGAAATTTACAGTGGTAATATTATTTTTCGTATTAAAAATGTACTAAACTTCGTACAAAAGTACTAGGTAATCACATCCATTTTGTTAATTTTTGCTTGAAATTTACAGTGGTAATATTATTTTTCGTATTAAAAATGTACTAAACTTTGTGCAAAAATACTAGGTAATCACATCCATTGTGTTAATTTTTGCTTGAAATTTACAGTGGTAATATTATTTTTCGTATTAAAAATGTACTAAACTTCGTACAAAAATACTAGGTAATCACATCCATTGTGTTAATTTTTGCTTGAAATTTACAGTGCTAATATTATTTTTCCTATTAAAAATGTACTAAACTTTGTACAAAAATACTAGGTAATCACATCCATTGTGTTAATGTTTGCTTGAAATTTGCAGTGGTAAAAAAAACTGTTTTTCTTTTTCAGGTACGTTGATTTTATTAACCAGTCTGTCAAACACTACAAAGGATCCAGGAAAGAGTGCTAAATTTGTGTGCCAAGTCCAGAACTTGCACTCTAACAATTCCAAGGTGAATTTTCATTGGAAAATCAATCGGATGCCTTTACCCACAGATAATAGGATCAAAGTCAAGAGTTTGCAGGTAGAATATTTGAATTTTTCATTTTTAAGATTTTTTTACAAATAATAATTCGTGTTGCAGGAGAAAGAAAACAAGTGGAGGTCAGTTTTGAGCATTAAAAAACTGAAATTTTTCGATAAAGGTTTTGTGGAATGTATAGCGAACAACGGAGTGGATAAAATACGTTCTGAATGCACCCTAATAGTGAATCCTGAATCCCAAATGTTCGGTAATTTTTTTTTAAATTTATTTAAACGTGTATAGTATTTTTTAATCTTTGTTTGCAGGTAGTACAGCAGCAAATGCACTGAATTTTGGTGGATCAGATAGTGACAAGTGAGTACCTATATTTTATGTCATTTTGTTTTAATTATTATTACAAATAACATGAATTACACTAGAACATAATTGTGCATGATTATTTCTGCTCATTTTTAATGAAAGGTAGGTATAAACGTTTTTTTTTGAGTAGGGATGTTAACATGTATCGAATTTATCAAAATGTCGATATACAGTCAAGTTTTCTTAACTCAAAATATTCTCTAAATCGAATATTTTTTGCAAGTAATTTGGTTTTTACATTCTGGACTTATGTATTTTTATCTCTATAAGGCGAATTTCTTTATTTTTGACTGAAATTTAGGGGTAACCAAACATAACTCAAACTTTTCGAAAAATTTCTTATATATTTTGGGGATTTACAGGTGTACACATTTTCCTGTAGGTACTGCCATCTTTTTTATTCACTAACACTGTTAGGCTTATGGATTCACACACAACATGACGTATTGACACGTTTTAAAACATTTGTGCTATTTTTAGTAGGTCGATCCCACTTCTGATGTCAGAATTCAGTATTTATTTTTCAAATAAAACAGTTGGTTTCCTTTATAATTCCTTTATTCCGTCGTAGTACTAAGGATTATTCCTATCATTCTTTTTACATATCTACTATACTCATGCATATAACCTTTTTTTATTTTTTGACAGTTCTGACATCACCACGTTCCTACCCAGCGCAATATCCAACAACGGTGACCAACATACAGACCCCTTGTCTACTCTACCTCACAAGACAAAGACATTCTCCACCTCCATTACGTACGACCTGGATAGTACCGGCAAAGTGGTGGACAGTGACAGTACCGTCGAAGTGGACAGGACCGTCATATATAACGGTTCTGAACCCTTCTGTCAACTATACAGGTTAGTAACGAAAATAAAATAAAGATATAAAAATTTAAAAAAATATATATAATTTTTTATTTGATTTTTTTAGGGGTCAAGTATGTAAAAACTTCTTGGCTGGCCAATATGTTTTTGTCCAACCCCCCTACACCATGGAAGACATCGAAAATAAATTATTTAACGCATTTGCCGTGATTCTCCGATCAAAGTGAGGGCTTATACACTCTTATTTTTTTTTAATATAACTGTATTTTTTTATAGTGACATATCACAAAGCTGCAACAAATTTGCTCGTCCTAGTATCTGTTTTTCTGCATTTCCTTTGTGCTTGAATCACAAAGAAGTGAACAATTTCCAAAAAGAGCACAAGAGTGAATTCAGATTATTGAGCAACGAAACTAAAACTAAGTTTCAAAATATCAGGAAAAGACTGACGAATAAATTAAGAAGAATCTGCAGAGATGAGTGTATGTTACTAGAGAACGAACTTTGTAGTAAGGAATACTCAATTGCAAAAAGGCATCCTGTTATTGGTAATTTTAAAATATTTTTCTTTAATTTTGTGTACAAAAATGTGTTTTTAGGTCAAATAATGGAGTTGGAAGTGTGTGAAAGTCTTCCTGTCGAAATGGATCCGAGTTCAAGCCATTGTTTGCCGCTTGGGGTGGGTGATTTTAAAGGAAATAAAGGTTTGTACTAAATATCTTACAAAAATATTAGGTAATCACATCCATTATGTTAATTTTTGCTTGAAATTACAGAGGTAATATTATTTTTCGTAATAAAAATGTACTAAACTTCGTATAAAAATACTAGGTAATCACATCTATTGTGTTAATTTTTGCTTGAAATTTACAGTGGTAATATTATTTTTCGTATTAAAAATGTACTAAATTTCTTACAAAAATACTAGGTAATCACATCCATTGTGTTAATTTTTGCTTGAAATTTACAGTGGTAATATTATTTTTCGTATTAAAAATGTACTAAACTTCGTACAAAAATACTAGGTAATCACATCCATTGTGTTATTTTTTGCTTGAAATTTACAGTGGTAATATAATTTTTTTGTATAAAAAATGTATTAAATTTCGTACAAAAATACTAGGTAATCACATCCATTGTGATAATTTTTGCTTGAAATTTACAGTGGCAATATTATTTTTTGTATAAAAAATGTAGTAAACTTCGTACAAAAATACTAGGCAATCACATCCATTGTGTTAATTTTTGCTTGAAATTTTCAGTGGTAATTTTTTTTGTATTAAAAATGTACTAAATTTCGTACAAAAATACTAGGTAATCACATCCATTGTGTTAATTTTCGCTGGAAATTATTGAAGATTTTATTTTTATTTATAATAACAGAGGAGCAGTGCTACTGGGATACCGGAAAACTGTACAGGGGTGTCCAAAACGTTACTGTTTATGGCGAACCCTGTATAAAATGGTCTCACCAATTTCATTTACTTCCTTCAGAGTATCCTGAATTGGCTGGCCATAACTACTGCAGGTATTGAGATATTTTATATTAATTATTTACAATTATTTTATATTATTATTTATTAAAAATTGTCGAGTATTGCAATACGTAAGAAACATTGTTTTTTTTTTCAGAAATCCAGGAGATACAGATACAGAACCATTTTGTTATGTTGCGCACAATAAAAAAGAAGTTTGTGGTGTTTCTCGATGTGGTAAGTTATTAAAAACGGCGTCTAGTTAGCTTTTCTCTGATTCCCAGCCATCTCGGACGGCGTTTTTTCCGGTCGTACGGTATTAAACATTCCTGATTTTCTAATCCCTTTTTTAGTACTGGTTTTTGGTACCTACGTGGCCGCGATCTTGGTGATAATATCGCTTTTGGTTGGATTGATGGCGACCTATTGTTACTGTAGAAGGAAAAACAAGGTAGCCAGGAACTTACAACATGTGAGTGGCATATTAAGATTTTGTATTATAATATCCTGCTATTTTTAAAGTTAATTTAATCTACTTACATATTTATATTAGGCTGGAAATTGTTGAAGTATGTTTGTAACTTTCTCTGTCGCTTAATTGTTGGTTTGTATGAAATTTTATGAAATGACTGTATAATTATATTAACATATAGGTATATTTAAATTTTTAAGTATATATTTCTAGTAATAAATTTTAAATAGTATTATTAAAAAATACTATTTAAAATTGATTATTACGTATTTTTAAAGGTATATTTAATAATTTAAGTTAAATTAGTTAATTATTATGTTAATAAAATATAGAGTCTATTAGTTATAACGTCAATTATTTATTTTTCTAATGTATATGCAACCAAACATATATCTCTTTGTTATCTATTAAATGCCCAATTTTTTACACATTTTCAAAGGCCTTAGAAAGATAGTAAACATAGTTACTAAATTATGAAAATAGCAATATTTGTAGCAAATTTTATGTAGAATCAGAATTTGTACACCTTTGAAGTTTTAGGTAGTTTGATTTTGAGAGAAAATTAGTTTTTTGAACTCTTGTTTTTGAGCTCACATTTTCAAAGGCCTTGAAAAAATAGTAAACATAGTCTTAAAATTATGAAAATATCAGTATTTGTAGCAAATTTTATGTAGATTCAGAATATGTACAGCTTTTAAGGCTTGGGTATTTTGGTTTTGCGAGAAAATTAATTTTTTAGACCCTTGTTTTTCAACTATTTATTAAATGCCCAATGGTTAAATATTTTTTTACAAATTTTCAAAGGCTTTAAAAAAATAGTAAACATAATTACTAAATTATGAAAAGATCAGTATTTGTAGCAAATTTTATGTAGTTTCAGAATATTTACACCTTTGAAGGCTTAGGTACCGTGATTTTGTGAGAAAATTATTTTTCTTGAACCCTTGTTTTCGATAGAGGTAAAAAAGCGATACACTCGTTATAACTAAGCAACAGAGAAAATTACAAAAGGTATTTCCCAACCTGTATTTATTTTTATTAAATAAAACATATATTACTTTCATTTTAACCAGAAAAATTCGATTGTTCTTCGTAATTTTTCGATAAAAAAAAACAACATGAAATCTTAATATCGACCTCACGATTTTTTACTAATCTTACAAAAACTTTCGTCCAGAAGGATATACCCCAAGTCAACAAAAACATCTATGGTAACCCCGGTCCATCCAGTCCTATAGAACTAAACAGTCTTTTGCCCCCTCATATGCAATCGACAAACCAAAGAAACCATAACCATAGTAAGTTAGGATATCAGAGCTTACCTCAGTACACTTACAAAGAGGTGAGGTTTGTCAAAGAACTAGGAGAAGGAGCTTTTGGTGAGTTCTGTTTTATTAAGGAGGTGTCTATATATTACGTGAGGGTTTTTGAGTTTTTTTTTGACCTCCCATCTCCCTACTGGTCGAGAGATATCGGTATATTTAATAATTTTAGTTACATTAGTTAATTATGTTAAAAAATATATTTTCTATTAGTTATAATGTCGATTGATCTGTTTTTCTAATGGGTATGCAACCAAACATACGTCAATGGTGTGTCGACTATTAAATGCCCAATTTTTGAACATTTTTTTACACATTTTCAAAGGTCTTAGAAAAATAGTAAAAGTTGTTACTAAATTATGAAAATATCAGTATTCGTAGCAAATTTTATGTAGATTCAGAATATGTACACGTTTGAAAGCTTATGTTTCTTGGTTTTGTGAGAAAAATAATTTTTTGAACCTTTGTTTTTGAGCTTTTTATTAAATGCACATTTTTACGCTATTTTTTGGCCGAAAAAAATGACATGGCATTTCCCTCCATCCATAGTGAAATTCTCGGTCTCCTCCTCACCTTGATTCACTCACGTAATCTCACTCACGCCCTCTAATAAGTGTTATATTTGTTATATTTTTTTATTAAATTTTAGGTAAGGTATACCAGGGTGAATTGAAAACTAAGACCGGTAAGGTTTTTGTGGCTGTGAAATCTTTGAAAGAAAACGCGTCAGCAAAGACTCAGGCCGATTTTCAGAGGGAGATTGAGCTGATTTCTGAGCTTAAACACCCGAATATTATATGTCTGTTGGGCGTAGTAACAAAGCAAGAACCTATGTGTATGTTATTTGAATATATGTCAGAGGTAAAGATATTTTATATTAATTCATAATAATTTTTTTAGATTGGTTTGTTTTTTTTCCGAAATTTTTTTGTATAGAATTTATTTAACTTACGAGGTACCAGTCTATTTCACTAAAGATGACGATTCAAATTCAATAATATCTACTCCTCTTCGTTTTACGAAATGTACGAAATTTTGTACATTTTTTTGTTAAGCACATCCCTTGAGTTAATTGTCACGTTTCATGAAAAGCAGAAGTGAGACAATTACAGAGTTATTGAAGGTGCTGGTGGATCTTGAATCATTATCTAATATCCACTCCTCTTCGTTTTAAGAAATGTACTAAATTTCGTACAATATTTTTGATAAGCACATCCTTTGAGTTAATTGTCACATTTCATGAAAAACAGAAGTGAATCAGTTACAGAGTGACTTATTGAAGGTACTGATTGATCTTGAATTATCTAATATCTACTTCTCTTCGTTTTAAGAAATGTACTAAATTTCGTACAATTTTTTTGGTAAGCACGTCCCTTGAGTTAATTGTCGCGTTTCATGAGAAACAGAAGTGAGACAACTACAGGATACTTCATGAAGTTACTGATTGATCTTGAATCATCTAATATCTACTCTTCGTTTTATGAAATGTACTAAATTTCGTACATTTTTTTAGTAAGCACATCCCTTGAGTTAATTGTCAAGTTTCATGAAAAACAGAAGTGAGGCAGTTACAGAGTGACTTTTTGAAGGTACTGGTTGATCTGGAATTATCTAATATCTACACCTTTTCGTTTTAAGAAATGTACTAAATTTCGTACAATTTTTTTTGTAAGCACATCCCTTGAGTTAATTGTCGCGTTTCATGAAAAACAGAAGTGAGACAATTACAGAGATACTTCATGAAGGTACTGGTTGATCTTGAATCATTATCTAATATCTACTCTTCGTTTTATGAAATGTACTAAATTTCGTACAACTTTTTTAGTAAGCACATCCCTTGAGTTAATTGTCAAGTTTCATGAAAAACAGAAGTGAGGCAGTTACAGAGTGACTTTTTGAAGGTACTGGTTGATCTGGAATTATCTAATATCTACTCCTTTTCGTTTTAAGAAATGTACTAAATTTCGTACAATTTTTTTTGTAAGTCTTTCGTACAATCTTTTTGGTGATGCCTTGAGTTAATTATTTCGGTTCATGAAAAACAGAAGTGAGACAATTACAGAGTGACTTATTGAAAGTACTGGTTGATCTTGAATCATTATCTAATATTTACTCCTCTTCGTTTTAAGAAATGTACTAAATTTCGTACATTTTTTTTGGTAAGCACATCCCTTGAGTTAATTGTTGCGTTTCATGAAAAACAGGAGTGAAACAGTTACAGAGAGACTTATTGAAGGTACAGGTTGATCTTGAATCGTTATCTCTCGTGAAATGAACTGTATTTTTTACATATCCTGTATTTAGTTATTTTGACTTGCGACGTTGATCGTTTTACTATTAATTTTACTACGTTATGATCGAAAAAAAAGCGTTCAGGTGGCTTAGACGATCGATGACACTTCCTATATAATTTTACATAAAAAATGACAGCGAACTTCATTTCGAAGCAATCTCTGACGCCGTTTTTTTTTAATTGAATTATTTGTATCCATTTTAGGGAGACCTACATGAATTTTTAATAGCCAATTCACCAGAAAATGGAAAATGTTTAACTCACGATCAATTTTTAGATGTAGCCATACAAATCGCACAAGGTAGGTAAAAATTTACATAGAAAAAAAAACAGTTCTTTCAAGAGAAGAAAGTATGATAGAAAAAAACGGCGTCAAAGACGGCTGGGGGCTGTAATCGATGATAGTTTTGGCACGGTCAATCATAAAACTTGTTAAAAATTAACAATAGAAAGATTAAAAAGGATAGAAGACACAAATCTATTTCTAAAAAATTATTTTTTACACCATTTAAAAATCATTTTTACTCAGTATAAAAATAAATTACAACCTTCTTAAAGCCAACTTAAGGCAGTAAGCACTATTAAAAGATAAATAAGAGTACAAGGATCAAGTAAATGTCGTCTAGGGCTTGACCTCGCCAAAATCATCGTCGATTGTCGTTCTCCAGCCTTCTTTGACACCGTTTTTTTTTCGATCGTATGTTATTTTCTTTTAAATTCAATATTAACAGGTATGGAGTATCTGTCAGATAACCATTACGTACATAGAGATCTGGCAGCTAGAAATTGCCTAGTGTCAAAGGACATGGAAGTAAAAATCAGCGACTTTGGCTTGAGTAGAGACATGTATTCTTGTGATTATTACAGGTAAAATATATATTTTTAAAAACGTATTTTGTGATAGAAAAAAAATAGTGTCAGGGTAGGCGTAGAATTAATTCTATCACTGAAATTCTAGAGACAGTGTCTTGTGATGATGGTCCACATATTTAACGTTTTTTTAACGCATCTTTTTTTTATATACAGGGTGCAGTCAAAATCTTTACTCCCAGTAAGATGGATGCCTCCAGAATCCATTCTATACGGAAAATTCACTACCGAATCTGACGTCTGGAGTTACGGTGTAGTACTATGGGAGATTTACAGTTATGGATTACAGGTAATTGTTTCATATAAAAATGTACGATTTTTTGTACATAACCGAACATTTTTCACAGCCCTATTACGGATACAACAATCAGGAGGTGATTAATATGATTAGGTCGAGAAAATTGCTGCCCTGTCCCGACGCCTGTCCCAGTTATTGTTATTCCTTAATGGTGGAGTGTTGGGCGGAACAGGCCAATAGGAGGCCTAATTTTAAGGAGATTAGCGATAGGTTAAAGATGTGGAAGCAGAGCGGATGTACCAATGGTAATGTAACATATTATATACACTTTTTCAAAAATGTACTAAATTTCGTACAATTTTTTTTGGCAATAACATCCTTTGGAGGAAGTTTCTTCGTCAAATGTTTCTAGTATTATTGTACTTACATTGTTATGTTACAGGTGCGTACTTTAAATCAGTGCCTCCATCGTGCCAACCTACTCCGCAACGACATAATATGTTAAACAGCTCAAAATCTAGCCACGCCTCCGATTCTCAGACGTTATGTGCGCCAATAGAAAATCAGGTAAAATGTACTAAATATCGTACAAAATTTTTAGGTAATAACATCCCTTGTGCGAACTTTTTTTGTCAAACTACCTGAAATATACTATTGTAAAACTATCCATTTGTATTCAATTTTACTTCTAACAGTCATCTGGAAATATACCAATGTAGCACTAATCTTTTGTATTAAAAACGAACTAATATAGTACAAAAATCTTGTTTAATCACATCCTTAAATTAACAGTTGGTCAATAATTTTTTAGATGTCGTCTTTGACGTGGGAAAGTGATAGGCACAAACCATCTTCTAGCAGATTACATGACAGCCAAAGTAGTTTGACGTCAGGCAGATCATCAAGGTAATTTTAATTGAATAATAATTAGTTTTTTTATTATTATTTCTTTCTAGTAATTCAGTTAATTATAAGTATCGTATATACAGGGTGATCGAAACTGTATTCCGGAAACTTCGGCAGCATATTCTGCAGATAAAAATAAGTAAAAAAGTTTATATCTACTAGTATGTCCTAAAATGCTTAGACTAACTAAACTTCTACACCCTGTATCTCCGAAACTAAGCATTTTAGGACATACATTTATACGAACTTTTTTGCTTATTTTTAGCCCGAAGTTTCAGGAATACAGTTCGGACCACCCTGTATATTTTTTTATTAAAAAAGTTTTTTTTAGTTTAGGCAATACAACGCAAAGCACAAACATTAGCTTGGAAGGGCGAAGGGACAGGAGGCACAAGGGCAGCAGAAATCTCGATTCGTTAGACAGAATGGACAGGGTGAATCCAAAAAACACCATCGTAGTAAGCAGCAGCCCGAGCGGAGATAATTTCGAAACTATAATTAGGGAATAATAATTCTAAAAAAATAATAATTTATTAAAAGATCTCTCTCTGTATGCGTGATTGATGTACTTTACGTAACGTTCTTATTGCAGGCAGCTCAAAAACTTTTTACTATAATCAACGACAGATCTATCGAATTTTTTCTATCCAAAGTACTTTTTTTTCGTTTTTCAATATCAAATTTATTGAAATAAACTTTTCATTTCATACTGTAGGATCGATGAAAAAAAACGGCGTCAAGTAAGCTTGGAAACGACGACCGATCGATGCCTACCATGACAGCGTTTTTTTTTCTTCGAATTTTACGGTATAAGCCTTGTTATTTTATATCTTAATGTATACAGTGTATATTATTAAAACGATAAACAACATTTTTTATTTCTTGTTAATGAAGATGTTTAAATAAATATTTATTATTTTTTAAACGTATCTTCGTGTATCATAAAAAAAATAATTCGTCGCGTTTTATTTTCGATGTTTTTTAGTAAAATTAATGTATATGTATCTATTATATTGAGTGTGTCCGTGTGTGTTTATATTAACTCTAAATAAATTCTTTTTTATATAATTTTCTGTGGTTTTATTTTGGCGCAATTGGCTTTTATTAAAAATGTACTAAATATGGTACAAAAATGTTAGGTAATCGCATACGTTTTTTGAAACATGTATTTTCATAATCAAAAATGTACTAAATATCGTACAAAAATATTTGGTTATTACATCCCTGAAAAAAATAAATAACATGGAAATAATCAAACAACTAGACAAAATGAACGAAATTTATTAATATTTCAAATTACAAAAAAAAATCTCCATAACTCTTCTAATCTAGCGAGTACAAAATTATCATTTTTTCTCACTTAGTTATATACTTTGAATGCATATAAAATCAGTACGTTTTTAACGTTAAATAACTAATAAAAAAAATAGAAAAATAATATAACAGCTTCAAATATTATTTAGAATAAACACAACATCTTTTTTACGCTTGGAGTTTGTAGATTCTTGTGGCAGTAATGTCTCCTACTGTCATTATCTGAAAAATAAAAATAAAATCAGCTAAAATAAACAGTAATAATAGTCATTATGTTTGTTTAAATGGTGTTCAGCATACATTTTTATCACCTTGTTTACTATTTACTAAACAATATGTGAATCTATCTGCTTAATTAAAAGTTATTTACGTTTAAATTATTGAAGCACTCATTGAAATAAAAAAACAGAAATTATCAGCATGTACTTTGATAAAACACTGCAAAAATCACATATCTTTTGTTCAAAAATGTCTATAAACTCTTGAGCTCAGATTATTTTTTATTTTATTTTAATACTAGTAATTAAAAAATCTTTTTCTCTATTTAAGCAGAAATAAAGTTGATGATGGTGGGTATCTCCGAAAGGAAACGTCACATTTCAAATCTAAACCGTGTTGTAGAGCAGGAAAAATAGCTATAGGAATATGAAATTTGTATTTTTATATCTTTTCAAATAGTCTAAAAAAATAAAAACAAAACAAAATCATTGGGAAATTTTAACTTTTTTCCAAAAAAATATTCAAAAGTAATCAAACCTTTTTAAGGTTGAGCAATGTGCAGCTTTTCTCTAATTATAACCCCTGTAAAGTGTATTTTTATCTGGTACACTGTGTACATGAAATTATGATAGAAAAAACATTGATTTTGATGTTAAAATCAAAATAAAATGCATATTGGTAATACTAGCCACCCATAATTTTTAATGTACTCCAACCCTAAGATACTAAATATCCAAAACTACGACCGCAAAAAAAAACGGCGTCAAAATACCTTAGAAATCATGATTAGTGACATTTTACATGTAAAATTATATGGTAATGTCGTTGATCTTCATTTCCAAGCCATCTTTGATGCTGCTTTTTCAATTTAATTCAATATCAAAATATTATCTGTCAAAAAAGAGTAAATACAGTATGACAGAAAAAAAACCGCGTCAAAATACCTTAGAAATTACAATCAGTGACATTTTATTTTCAAAATTACGAGCCAAATGTCACTGATCTTCATTCCCAAGCCACCTTCGATCCAGTTTTTGATCAGTCAGCATTTCAAATAAACAAAAACTATCTTAAGGACCTACCATCTTGATTTCATCGTCGCTGAAGGTCCGGTCAATGGTGGTGAGTTTACCATCGGCTCCTTTTTGTACCTCTTTCAGTGTGTTACCATCGACTGTGATGGTAGCCTTAACTTTTCTACCATCTGGAGTCTCCTGGTCGAACTCCACACCAGGTTTGAACTTCAAGACCACATTTTTGAAGGTAGAGTTTGATGTTAAAACGTAGTCTTCACCATCTTTGTTCAATTCCACTACTGGGGAGACTGCGTTGCCCACTTTGCGAGTTACCAGACCCACACCTTGAGGAAAATAAATTATATTTAACAATGATTTTCATTTCCGTTATTTTTCTTCCATTTTTTAACTATTTTGGTTCAAAATAACCCCTCTACTTCGAAGAAACTTTGAACTTGTTAATATTATAAAAAACACATAAGTCAATATGGACAATGTACTGTATATTAAAGACTGAAAACTATTTAAAATTCAAATTAAAAACAATAAGGTCATTTACCTAAAGCCTTCATATATTCATCAAACCTTTCACTGGTCGTTAGCTTGTATTTCTTGCCAAAAATGCTCTCGAAACTCATGTTTTTATTTTTCTTTAAATGCACTCTCTAAGGGACCTGTTACTAAAGCAAGTCAACGCCTAATCGACACTGTTTTCTTGCCGGCTATTTTTCAAATAATTCACGCTGTTGTACCAGTTCAAAGTCTTGCTTTTGGACTTCTTATATATTCGTTAATTAGTTTGGTTAAATCACTGATATCAGTTTGGCTAGTGTTGTTTTTGGTTCCCCGTGCGAAAGAAAGAGACAGCATATACTAGGCACGTCGGTTATAGCTAAATCAATAAGTCGACGTATCTAGGGAATTGAACTTTGAACTTTCGCACATTTTTTTTAAATGATACAAAACAGAATGCATTAATAATGTTTAAGTTATTTGCGAAAAAATCCAGATATATAGATACCTAGATGCATAAAATATTTTATAAAATAGTTCAGATATTTATGGGTAATTATATTTATAAAATATCTTTGGGACTAGTTAAAAACAGGTACTACTAACGGTTTTTTTAATAAACTCCCAAGATATCTTATTGGACATTTGCAATGTCTGTTTAATGAAGGTATATTTAAACTTAAAATAAAAGAAAAAACATTATAAACTATGAGAAGTTTGCAACATTTTTTCAGAAATCTGAAAACTGACTAGACTTTTTAATTTCTTATAAATACCGTTTAAAAAAATATTAACAAAGGTATGAAACAACTCAAACTATACTTGTCGTATGTAGAATTTTATATTCTTTCAGGATATGTCTTGCACTGATCTGAAATGTTAGTAATTTTAAGGTAGTTGTAGGGAGAGACAACCCTATTTCGGGAATTTTGTCTAAATCTGTTGAAAAAACACAAGTTTGTATTTAGATTTAAAAAATATACAAGTAATGGTTCAAAATAAATGAATTTTACAGAAGATATATAAAATTTCATGTACTTTTAGAATATCTATAGTACGGAAAAAAAATATTTTTAATTTTGAGTGTAGGACGAGTTTTCAACAACCTTTTCACAAATCTGACTGGACATTCTAATTTCTTAAATATAAACCGTTTAAAAAATATTAATAAAAGTGTGAAACAACTCAAACTATACTTGTCGTATGCAGAATTTTATATTCTTTTAGAATGTGTCTTGCATTGATCTGAAATGTTAGTAATTTAAAAGTTGTTCTAGGGAGAGACAACCCTATTTCCGGGAATTTTGTCTAAATCTGTGAAAAAAATATGAGTTTGTATTTAGCTTAAAAAAAATATTAATAATGGTTCAAAATACATTAATTTTACAGGAGATATATAAAATTTAATGTTCTTTTAGGATATGTATAGTACTGAGAGAAAAGTTTGTAAACTTCGAGTGTAGGCCGAGTTTTCGACAATCGTTCACAAATCTGACTAGACTTTCTGATTTCTTATAAATACCGTTTAAAAAATATTGATAAAGGTCTGAAACAACTGAAACTATATTTATCGTGTGTAGAATTTTATATTCTTTTAGGATATGCCTTGCATTAATATGAAATGTTAGTAATTTTAAGGCAGTTCTAGGGAGAGACAACCCTATTTCCGAGAATTATGTCTAAATCTGTGGAAAAAATACGAATTTGTATTTAGCTTTAAAAAAATATTAATAATAGTTGAAAATAAATTAATTTTACAGAGGATATATAAAATTTAATGTACTTTTAGAATATGTATAGTACTGAAAGAAAATATTTTTAACTTTGAGTGTAGACGAGTTTTCAACAATCTTTTCACAAATGTGACTAGACTTTCTGATTTCTTATAAATGCTGTTTAAAAAAAATATTAACAAAGGTCTTAAACAACTACTACTATACTTGTCGTATGTAGAATTTTATATTCTTTCAGAATATGTCTTGTATTGATTTAAAATGTTTAAAAAAAATTAACTATAAGGATAAAAAATATATGTGCATTTATTCAAAATAAACTTCTTAAAAACTTAATAGTTGGCTACTTATTGGTTGATAACTATGCTTAATAAGATAAATACTCGCTACTAAAAGTATCGGTTGAATTAATTAGCACTAATTTATAAACGAATGACTAATAATTTTCTATCTTGACTGAGCTGTCCATAGTTTTGACTTTTCAAATAATTGCATGAGTCATTAGGAATAAGATATCAATAATTTTAGTAATAAAAAGTTCTTAAATCTATCATAGAGTCATCCGTGCAGAAAATATAGCTAGTATTCTATTACAAAAAACCTTCAAAGCATGACAAATAAACCGTTTTTCGAGTTAAACATTTTTATTATAGCTCTCCATGAAACATACAGGGTTGTTCACCACATACGACACGGAGTATTGTAGCTAAACGATTAGATTTTTACAAATTGTAAGTTTGGGGTTCGTTGAAGGACTATTAGAGCTGCAATTTAAAAATATTTTTACAAGATACAGAGTGTCCCAAATAAATAAAAAATATCAAAGTTGTATTTTTTTAAATGGAACACCCTGTATATTATTACATTTTTAGTTTCTACGATTAAAATAAAGGTAATTGCGCTGCTCCTATAGAAACGCATCTTTTATGGCTAATAAATGACCCGATAATAAAATAATAAATTAAATACCACTAATAAAATTATAAACAGATAAAATACAATAAAACGGACTATGAGGTGTTAAAAATGAAAAAAAAAAATCTATCAGTTTCTGCTTAACGATATTTATCTATATCTAAAATAACCATGGACTTTAAGACTTTTATCACAAATACTGTGAAAAATATTTACTTTTGTCAAGTGTCCAACAGTCAGTCAATGTGCAAAAATACCTAGAGGTCGATAATATACAGGGTGTCCCAATATTCCGTGGACTACTACGTTCATACGACACATTTTACCTCTATACAAAAGTGCTTCCTTTGTCCGATAGAGTGCATCAAAGTTTAAAAAAATAAACACATTTTCTCAGATATTTTAAGAACCATTTTTCCGATTTGAATGAGATTTTGGGTATTTATGTTTTGATAAGTGCTTTAACATTTGACATTCACAAAAATCAAGAAAAAATACAGAATCTTGTGAAAACCACCCCCACCCTTACATAAATCTTACATAAATATTTTCCAAATCAACCGACGACCAATTTTCTTTTCGTAAAATGTTTCTTTCTAGTACCCAAGCAGCATTTGGACGTCGGGACAACGTTGTGTCACGCGACCAAACGTCGGGGCGCAACGTCGGCACAACCTCGTGCCAACCCTAGTCTGCACTAGTTTGGAGAATAATTTTTGGGTCGAAACGACGTTGGATACCGACGTTGGCTAGAAGCCTAATTTAGTACAAACTGCAACGTTGTTTAAAATCCTAATTCACAGAAATACAAAACTAATATGGCGTCTAAGTCGCGTTTTATAATAAATTGGGATAATTATAGTAAAAATATTATTTTTATGATTTAGTTAGAAGACATATGTCAGATGACAGTGAAGGAAAACAAAAGAAAAATATTTAAGTATGGAGGATGTTTGAAGATCATAATTAGTGGAACACTTTAACCGACTCTGTAACTCGATACCCAAGGCAAAAAAGTTAAACGCCAACAACTTTATTGATAAATGTATTGTTTCTACTTTGAAAAATACTAATGGGCCTTAAAATTAAAGAAGTTTTAAAAATTTTCTTGAATTTTTTTTTAGTAAAATGAAAATAATTTATTCGCAGTCGAAAAAATTGTTTCCGCGTGTTTTTTAGGGTCAAATATTTCAAGTTAATGGATTCAAAAAGCAGGAATTGCTATTTTAGGAACGAAATATTTTCTTATTTAACAACATGGCGGTTTTCACTTTGTTGTTTTGGAGATTAAGATGGAGTAGTTCGAGTAGTCGCATACTGGACTAATAAAGTCGCAGTTCGGCCTTAACAGGTAGTATACTAGTCGCAAGATTGCCTAATTTAGTCATCCTAGAATCTAGCTTGTGCCGCCCTCTATAATCTAAATAAACGAGGGAGTGGATAAACTATCGGTAATATATGTCGATATATATTTAAATTTAGTTTTTTATGTACCTTTCTTATGTCCCATTTTAATTAATTTTTTTTTATAAAAACAAAAACAGCACTGAACTGTCTGACTGAACAGAACAATGAAGTGAAAATTTAAGATTTAAGGTTATGGTTCAATACAGTTGCAAAAAGGTAGTGACTCGACGTCCTACCAACGTAAGAACAAGGAAATCTAAACAACGTTGGAATTAGTAAAACAGACGACGTTTGCATAACGTTGGAATAGGTCCTGAAACTGACGTCGGAAAACTCTATATTGTCCAACGTTGTAACTACGTTGTCCGAATCACCTAAAGATTACTTAAGCAAAAAAGGTTACAAGACAACGTATATTCGACGTCGCAGAAGCTTCTACTTTGCTATAGTACTAGTCCAACGTCGGCACAACGTTATAAAAACGTTTAAATTTATTTTAATACCCAAGGTAGGGAGCTAACTATTTTTTGTAACTAATCCAACGTTGTGTTTAGTAAACATGTGGTCGCAAGTCGTGAAAATGCTACTTGGGTGCTTACTACATTTTTTATTTATTGTAAAAAACGCCACATCGTATAGTTTTTGAGAAAAAAATTTGGGGAATTTATTTTTCCAAAGCAGACCTACAAAACATACAAGGACTTCCAATATTTTGTGGACATAGAAGAACTACGTATATTCTGAATCAAAATAAATTAATTGCACAGAATTTACCTTTATATCAAAAACAAACACGACCGTTAACGAACGTTAATTAATTTAGAAGTTATTAATTTTTTCAAGTTTTTATGAAGCTTATTGTCAAATAAAAATTTGTAATACTTCTTCTTTGTAACGCTTCTTAAAATATCTGAAAAAATGTGATTATTTTTTTAAAGTTTGACATGCCCTCTAACGGACAAAGGGGGCACTTTTATCTAGACGTAAATCGTGTCCAATGGACTTTGATTCCAAAAATATGTAATAGTTCTATGTTCACGGAATATAGGGACACCCTGTATATTCAACAAGTAATTCTAATTATATATTACAAATCTGTATATAAAACAGTTAATTTTTTAATAAGGTTGACGTAAATTTATGAAAAAAATGTCCATTAAACTGTACAGGATAGAAAAAAGATCAACTATTTTTTTAATAATAAAATGTAACCCATCTCATGATAGTTCTTAATTTTTTTTTTTTGAGCTTACATAATGAAATTATGTCTTAATTATCATAGATTAATAATTTGAATAAAATGTTAATACTATTAGATAATTGTTTTTTTTATCACTTAAAATTATCCATTACTTGTATGACTAAAAACTGGTTAAAAAAGATATTATTTATAAAAAAAAGTCATTATTTCCAAAAAATTCTATCAATTAGTCTTCTTTTTATTGACAGATAAATGAACTTCACTTAATTTAGTACTAATATGCAAAGGAACATTAAAATAACGAAATTATCAAAGATATAATACAAGGTAATAATATTGAGATAAAAAATAATTTAAATAATATTAAAATACTTTTAAAAACGTTTATAATGTTCAGAATGAAAAACTTGAGTACTTTGGCATATAGGATTGCAAAATACAAACATTATGCTTTGGAAATATCGTATTACCGAAAAACGGCGTCAAAGACGTCTGGGGAATGACGATCGATAAAAATTTTGACGAGGTCAATCTCTGTATATATTAAAAATCATTTTTACTCGCTATAAAAGTAAATTACGACCTTCTTAGGGCCGAGACTGGTTGTAAGCGCGATTAAAAATAAAAAAGAGTACCTCGCTAGGGCTTGACCTCGGTAAAATTATTATCGATTGTCATTCACAGCCGTCTTTGACGCCGTTTTTTTTCTTCCATCGTATGATACTTGCCCTGTTTTATAATTTAGATTTAATTTAAGAATATATGTTAATACCATACCTAACTCTTTCATAAATTCATCGAAGTTTTCACTGGATTCCAGTTTATATTTTTTTCCCAAAAATGCGTCCACCATTTTGATAGAGATAGATCTAGCGATAAAAATGCAATAACATAGTTAAAAACTTATTTTATATTTACATAGATGAATAATATACAGGGTATTCCTTAATGACATGCTAATATTTAAGGGCGTGATTCTTGGACATATTCTAAGAGAAAAACTTCATATGAATTGTATGTCCTAAACATCTTAATTTCTGAGATACAGGGTGGAAATTTTTTCAAAAAAAAATTTACTTGGTCCAAAAATCACCTTCTTAAATATTAGCATGTCATTAAGAAACACCCTCTATACCGGGTGCGTCTCAAAAGTGGCTCACCCCCTATAACTCTTTTATTTTTTCATTTTGAAAAACGAGATTTGGTATGTTAGTATATGACATAAATTAGGATTGATTGACGTATTCAATTGTTTTCGGTCACTTCCTGTTTCACCGGAAATGACTACAACTTTTGATTTTTAAATGGCACCCTCGGTATTTTTTTACTCTATTCGATAGAAAATAACACTCTGAACTGAATGACACATCATATGTCAACTTTTGACATTTTCGCATATGGTTTATTTGAAATTATAACTTGTGGTTCGTAACGAAAATTTGACTCGAAATACCAAGTGTGTGGTATCAAATTATTCGTAAAAAAATGTTTTTTCCAAAAATTCTAATGAGCTACCCTCGTTCCATTTGAAAATGGAAAAAAAAAAGAATGTCATTTTCTATCGAATAAAGTAAAAAAATACCGAGAGCGCCATTTGAAAATCAAAAGTTGTAGTCATTTCCGGTGAAACAAAAAGTGGCCGAAAAGAATTGAATACGTCAATCAATCCTAATTTGTGTCCCATACTAACATACCAAATCTTGTTTTTTTTTATCTGAAAAAATAAAAAAAGTTATAGGGGTGTGACAACTAATACACAAATTTCGTGTTATTAAAATGTGTAATTTCTAAAAAGGTGTTTTTTTTCTTTAAATTTAATATAGTTTTTCATGAAAATAAATTAACGAATCCTCTTATAAAATTCAAACAAAAGAATTTAAAACAAAACGTAACAAAATTAAACCAGAGTAAAACAAAAATAAAAAACTTAAAAAATAGATACAAAAATATAAACTAAAATTATCTTATTTTTATAATAGATTTTGAAAAATATAATACTGCGTTAAATATGTTATAAATCGTTTTTAAATCTGTTTAATTTATAATTAACTGGAGCATTATAGTACTTAAGAATACTGAAGAGTTGATAAAATAAATGTTTGGTGTTCTACATTTAAAAAAGATATAATTAAAATCACTTACTTCAGTTAGGTGTAAAGTTTAGCCGGTAAAATTTTGTGAAGTGAACAACTACACCAGCACGCTTCTCTGAGGAGGTCGGGACATAAATAAACGAACGATTACCAAGACAATTATTATTAAACGAGTCTGCCATTCTATTTTCAAATCATATACGACAATTGAAATGAAAGAAAACAGCTAATTCAATTACCTTTGTTGCTTTCTTCTTTTTTTCCATTGTGTATATCTTCCGTCTTTGTTTTTATTTAACGCCAAATCTTCGTTCAGAACGTCGAAATTACTGGAATAAATTGAGCTGTTATTGGTGAAAGTGATATAAGTCCAATTTAAAAAAATTCTTTCCATATTTATTAGGGTGTCCGTTATATTTACAAAGTTGATCATTTCTCTCACGACGCCCTCTAAATTTTTCGTTTATTGTCTAAAAAAAATAACAGACTATTGTAAACCCTTAGTATTCACAATAAACCTTGCCCCAAAGACGATTCATTTCCCATTTCAATTACATGGAAATTTGCCACTTTTTGTAAATAATTTTTTTCTCTCGATCTTGTTCTCTCGCAGCCATAACAATCACATATTCTTGTACAGAATTGAAAGCTCTACAAAAAAGGTCTCTTACAATTTTTCGATAAACCTACTCCTAAAAAGTTATTCCTATACATACTCCTTCAAAAGTTATTCACTCGTTAAATTCCTAAATTTTTTTGACAAAATTATGATTATTTTTGAAAAATTTAATCATTTTTTTTTCGATATTTCTAAACGCTTTATTTTTAATAAAAATGATTTTAAATGGTTTATAAACAAAAACATTGATTATTTCATAAATTCAAATTCGTTACAATTTTTTACACGGTTTAATATTGATACAAGTTTCCTGCAGTTAGACAGTACGGAATGGTTAAAGGATCCTGGATATATGAGAGGCTTAGAAATTGTAAAAATTGGGGAGTAGTTAATGATACTGCAGAAAGAGCTGTTAAATTGTCAGAAGAATATATTAATATTTTATCTAGAAGTGAAGATGAAAAACAATATGTGATTCAGATTGTAAGCGAGTATAAGAAGAAATATCAAAATTCAACTTTATTAAAATAAAAATCAGTTTAAACTTCATTAGACTTGAAGATTTTTTAATTCCCAACCTTAACACCATCAGAATTGTATATTTTTACAGTAATAGATTAATTTTTTTTTTAATTTAAACTACTTTTCTGTCCTTATTCAACTAAATCCACTACAATTTTTTTAATACTTTAAGAAACTTCTATCGATAAACCCTTGAAAACCCCAAGCAATTACAATAAATCATTGCATTTTTTTTCTTTCATTAAAAAAAACTGCGTCGAATTGGCTTGGAAATTACAAAAAAGGCTAAGATATTTATTTCCAAGCCAACTATGACGCCGCTTTTTTTTCTCTCGATTGTTTGTGGCATTAAATCTGTTAAGAATTTAATAAAAATCTTAATTTAATTCTGTATCAGTTTCGTTCAAGTGAAGATGTTTGTTGTGATTAAAATTTCTACAGATAAACTCTGTAAACATTGTCGGCTAGTCTAAAGGTAAACATACAAGGCCGTATTTCTGGAAATATTCCGAATAATAAATACACAAACTCTTGGTCATACGATGTAGGTATAAAAATATAATTATATTGTTTAAATTCAAAGATATAGGTAGTTACTTTGAACGGACGATGTTTATAAAGGTTTAGATTTAGTTTATAGTTATAGATTTGGCGATTTTTAAAATTCAAAACATTCTCTTCAAACATTTTCATTAAGCAGGCGCAATCTACCGGATATGCGTCAGCTGTATCACTTATTAGATGTCATAAAATTTATCTATCAGGGGAAAATATCTCTAGAATATGTTAACCATTAACACGAAACTAGACATAAAACACACAAACTATTGGATAGAAATCATCAAAATTTCTTGCACCTCGTTTATTATAAGGGTCGGCATTTCTGGTCTTGGGTGACCAGGGTTGTTAAGTAGTTTATGAAGCAAAAAACTACGCCAAAAACAACGCGTAGTTTTTTGTATTAACTACGTTTTAAAATTTTAAAAACTACCTTCAAAAACTACCTTAAAAACTACCTACAAATATATAGTAAAACATAAACAATTTAGACTTTAAACAAGAATCAAGCCAAATTCTTATCATGGAAGGATGAAGTTATATATTTGTATAAGTTAAACAACATCAGTAAAAGACAAATTTTTTTTCAACAAAAGTGTATTTTCTATGAAATATGAAGTAACATTGAACACAAAATAAACTATAAATTCTTATGGAGAAATTCTCCATAGACATTCTCCAGGAGAATATATGATTTTTTACATCTAAAGGCACAACTTCATAATTTCCCTCTTCCCAGAAGGTATGGAGCAAGGTATGGAGACATCGACGTCTTCCAACCATTTTTAACTACTAAGTATCAAAAATATCACATAATAAGGAACAAATTCACAAAATATAGGTTTTTTATTTCTTTAAATTGATCAACAAACAAAGATTTTAAGTTATGTTTTCACTGTTATTTAAAAAAACTACATTAGTTACATAAACTACACATTTACTACTCGACATTTAAAAAACTACTTGTAACATGTAGTAAATGTGGTTTATTCATTACTACGTGTAGTTTAACAACTCTGCTTGGGTGTCGGTTTTCATGTGTACGAAGAGTACGGTCAACACGCTTAGTAAAATAAGATGTACTGAATAAAGACAGAAGGCGAGTATTTTCCCAAGCGCATGGAATCTAGCGTCAGATTAAGTAGTTATGTAATAAATACTTCGTGTTTTTGCTCACTCCGACTTACTAGATCGCCATAACGACTCACTCCTATACATGTAAACACCGACCCAAAAGTTCGCTTGCCAGCGGGGTATAACATTTTACCAACCCTCTGATAGTTGATCAAGATAAGGATGTGTTTAACTATTTTATATCTAGTTAATTCAAGAAGACATCTAAAGATACTTTAATAATTTTATAATCCATGGTAACTCTGCCTGAGAAAATACATTTCTCAATTTCCCAGCCAGACCAATCACAGTCTCATAGATTTCCTGGCTATACAGGGAGGAAAGAAAGATACTAAACCGTTTTTGTCCCGCAGAGAAAATTGATTTGAAAAGCTATTTTTAACATCTTAACCGTAACTAGACGCTTAGAAGTACCACCATTCTTAGCTAATTGAAGTCAATTTACGTCAAAAGATATTTATTATCCAATTGGAGTTAATAATCAAGTAAATATTCCTGGGAAAGATATATATAGAAATATAAAATATAATTTTTAGTAATTTGGGATTAGATATACATAAAGGCAGGCCATGGTTTTTAAAACTTTATATAATTTTAATTATTTTACTATATTATAATATGCAATGACTTTAAAATTAAACATTTTATGAACAAAACACGATTATTTGTGTAAATGTCAGTTCATTTTTAGTAATTAGTCTTATTTTTAGGTAGTTAATTTTTTTTAGCGATGGGAACTATCGAATGAATTAGACTATCGAATGGTTACTGAATGAATGATTTCAACTATAGAATGGTTTTATTCGAATAAAATCATTCATTCATTTGTATACTAAAGCATATGTGACAACCTCGCCGTGCAACTAAATGGTTATCGTTGAGCCACGACTATCGAATGCTTTGAGGAAAATTCATCTCTAAGCATCCTTGTTTTCCCTCAACGCGCGCAGACGTAGAGTTTCCCAAGATTTCATTTTAAGTAAGTTTTCCCTATACAGGTGAGTTTCCTACGATATTCTCTATGGGTATCTCAGAAACTACAAAGAGTCGATTAAATGGGGAAAAATTGCAGTTGTGTGGGGACATAAATATGCGCCTTTCAGATTTTGAAAAAGTTCATGGATTACTAGATATTTCGAAAAAAACAAATTTCGGCTATTTTAAAAATTGTTCCTAATTCCATTATAAGATATTTTAGACAAAAAGTTTTCAGATAAAGGTTGTAGATAATCACATTCCTAATGAGTTTGTGTTCTCCTAAAGCCTGTCATTTTTTGACATATGACACAAATATATGTTTTTTCTTTGAATAAGAAGACTAAGGAAGGAGCATATCAAAATCTTAGATCCAGCGCGATGGGCCTCAAATATGGCCGACTTAAATTCCGGTTTATCAGCGTCGTTCTAATTTTATTTAAAAATGTTAAACTATGATGTAGGGTAGACGTGGGGTAGACTCAATAATTTGTTGTTTATTTTACGTTGTGAATAAATGTTGGTAGTTATTAAAATTGTTATAAAAATATATAATTCTAATAAAAATAGATAAGTTATAATAAGTATTTATTAACACAAACATCCGATACGCTACTGAAGCAGGTAAGTCAAATTAACGTATCTAAATTCTTTGACATCTAATCTTTGACAAGTAATAAATAAAAGCTAAAATGCAAAGAATAATATATAATTTAGTTAATTTAAGTGAATTTCATAAATGATCGGTTTACTACACGTATGTATATTATATAGTCACTTACTAGCGAAAAGTTGTTCCATTATTTCACTCGATTTTGCCGAGATCTACCGCACGCTACACAACCAACTATTTTAGAGTCTTTTTCGATAAATCCCGATAGTGTCACTGTTAATTTAAGTTCTGCTAATTTAATACAACTATCAGTAGTAGAATAAATAATAAATAACATACAATAAGCTCCATAAAGACTGACAAATCCATAAAATTTCAAATCTAATTTAAATGTGTCAAATGAATCGTCAAACAGAACTGTCAAGGATCCCCACCCTAGAGTGCTTTTTCCGCCCACCATGCATGAATACATGGATAGCATTATGGTCCTTCCTTAGTCTTCTTATTCAAAGGTTTTTTAAATGGAAACCATAGTTGGCCATGACTTCATAAAAGCGCCATTTTTAAGCTTTTCAACGATATAAGCTATTGTTGCGGGCCGGTGTGGACTCGACCTAACCTCAATATGGCCCGCCCTCGGATGACCTTAACATCGCATAGACACCGCAATGATTCATTCGTTCGAGAAAAGCATCAGAGTCCCACACTGGAATGGACTAGTACATACGAGAACATTCGAAAACCTTCTCTATGCACTAACGATCTATGGACAATTCC